TTGAAATGATTCACCAAAATAGAAAGAAATCATATAGGTAGAATTAAATTCCTAAGAAAAACGGAAGTGTTTTGGCCTATAATTTGAAAACTTGAAAATACAATCTATGTAGGACACAAACGTGTTTTTGTATAGAAGAGAAATAAAAATAATGAAATTACAAAATACAAAACCCGACTTGAGTCCAAAGTTTTTCACAAAGACTTGGAATTGATTATGAGGAAGCATATTCTTCGCAATGGAAACTATTGCTTTCAGATTCTTACTTAGTTTGACAGTGTTACAAATGTGCTGTAATTGTCTACTTGTATGTAACTTGCCTTTTATATATATATAGAAGTCCCCAAAGGACTTAAAGTATCAAGAATATTGAATTTGCAATTGTGACAATTTATGTTAATAATTTAAATTTAATTGGAACTCTTGAAAAGTTCAACAAAATTGCAGATCATTTGAAAAATAAATTTGAGACGAATGATTTGGAAAAATTAAATTTTATTTTAGGTTACATATTGAATACTCACTGGAAATATTATTTGTACATCAATCTTCATATACAGAAAAAATTATTGATACATTTTTATATGGATAATGCATATCCATTGACATAACCTATAATTGTTCGATCACTTAATGTAAAAAAGATTTATTCCGAAGACGTAGAAAATATTCTTAATTTTGAAGTACCATATCTTCGTGCAGTTAGAGCATTAACCTATCTTGCAAACTATATATGACCTAACATAATTTTTCTGTAAATCTCCTTGCAATATATAACTTTACACCAGCTTAAAGACATTGGAATGGTGTTAAACATATTTTAAAGGTACTATTTATTTGGATTATTTTATTCTTAAAAGTCAAAATCTACTTTAATGGAATATGCAGATACTGGTTATCTTTTGATCCACATAAAGCCAAATCTCAAACAAAATATGTGTTTACACGTGGAGGAACAACTATATCATGAAAATTTGTGAAACAAACATTGATAATAATATCTTCAAATCATTTTGAAATTATTGTGATCAATGAAGCAGATCAAGAATACGTATAGTTGAGGAACATGACCCATCATTCTTAAACATCATGCGGATTAATTTCAACAAAAAATAATTCACCAATATTATCAATATTTAACAAATGCGCTTAAGTGACATTGTGACTAATTTTCAGTGATCAATATTAAGGAGAGTAGCTGTATTCTTTTTCTTTCACTTATGTTTTATCCCAATAGATTTTTCTGACAAAATTTTAATGAGATAACATTTATTTATTATATTCCAAAGTAAATGTACCCTTTTTCCTTTAGTTGATATTTTTGTCCTATTGAATTTTTATCTGACAAGATTTTATTGAAACAAATATTTTGTAGTGTATCATTCAATGTGGAATATTGTAACTGGTAAGTTTATTAGTGAATAATAATTGTATCCCTCTAATCCTAAAAATAATTACTATTGTATTATTAATTCTTTTCTATAAATATAAGGATCTAGTTCTCAATAAAATATATACAAGTTTATTGACTTCTATTATCTTTACTCTTTTTCTCTCTTTTCAAAACATTTAGATAATTGTTTGAAAGTGCTTTTGTTGATTAGACGAACTTTTTAAAAAGTTGATCTAAGTTAGTTTTTTTCTACAAGAAGCAAAAATAAAAGTAAAAATCCTACTAAACGAACACTTAATAGATTTGGAAAATTCAAATAGACTTATTTCAAAGAGCCATATACAGATGCTTATGCCTTTATTTGGGCCTTATCTTTTAAAACTTTATTTTTTCAAACTTATTTTTAATCATATTTTTCTAAAAAATAATTTTATATGTAAATTCAAAAATTTTCTTACTTTTTAACTCTACATTATTCATAAAAATTGTATTATAAAATCTATTTTTCTAAAAAATGCGCTTAAACAATAATACTTTTAAAAGAAATAGGGGGCAATATTGACTTAAATTCTATAGTTGAGGAGTAATTTGCAAATTGTTGAAAAGTGAAAACCCAACTTAAATAAATAGACTCCTATAGAGAGACGTTTTAGGTTTCCTTCGTGCTTCCCAACAAAAACCTATGTTAATCTGTTTTCTCAAAACGCGTACAATGCTAAGTCGTGAAAGCGTTTCTAATGGCGATCTCTCTGCAGATTCACATATTTGAGTAGCCGTTGGAATTTTACTATTTCGCTCCCACTCTCACTCTCACTCTTTTTTTTTGGCTGCCGAATTAATCTCATAAAACCTGTTCAATTTTCGTTGATCTTATCATTTGGGAAATTCTCACAAGCTGTTGCAGATGCAGAAATTGTGTGTGTATGTTGGAGTGAGTTAGAGGTTGGCAGAGCTTGGTTACGCTGAAGGTGGTCCGTGTTGGCTTGGGGTAACCATTTATTTTTATTTTTCAAGATTTATTTAGTTTTCTGAAAATCTGTTGATTTAGTGTCTGAATTTTGTGGGGTTGATGCTAAAATGAGAATTAATCTTCTTTAAATAGCTTATTTTGCTGATATCATTGCAGAATTTCCATGAATGATTTATATAATTTCCGAACCCTAAATAAAATTTGTGGATAATATATTTCCATAAAGTTTTTGTCTGGCTAATTTATATGGTTCCTCTAGCTTTTTATTATTTATTATTTTGTGTATTTGATGAATGGATTGTAGCTGTACAAATACGTATTAAAGAACATTTTTGGTTCTGTTACTTTTATTTCTTAATCTTCTCGAGGCGTACGCATCGACTTATGGGACCTACTTTTTGAATGTGGAGATATCGTGATTTAGATTTTGTTTTCTATCCATGTTTTTTTGGCAATTTTTACAACAAGTATAAGATTGAGTTATTTCTTTTAAGAGTTCTCACATAAAAAGAAAGGAAGAGTTGATATCAGATAAGTAGTAACTGCTGCTGAGAAAGCTTCCCAAGGAAAAATTCACTATTAGGTGGAATCAGACCTCTAATCTTCTCAAAGTTGAAAAGAGTTGCTTAAAATGCAGATAATTTACTGATTGGAATAGAATGCTAAAAACAATTTTATGCACTAGGCAGCAGATATTCTCATCTCATAACCAGGTAAGCCCTCCATCTCAAGGAATGCTCTTTTTTGCTTGAGGATAGACTAAAAAGTGCCCAGTAAAATTTAGGTAAGCAGAGGCTAATAATGACCTCACGCAGGAGTAGATAAGAGCTTTGTTTTCCTCCGTCACAAGTCTTTGACTCTAAAGATTGAAAAGTGTGGCCTATGTATGGGGTGCATTATGTGGATTAGAAGTTTTTAAACTGTTCAACACGCAGAGGGAAAACATAAATGTCATGGAATTTATCTTTTTATATTATTCCAGAATTTTGTGAGGTCATTATCCTCGCTGTTACCCTTTCTAATTAAATTTTCTCAGCTAAGATTTAGATTTCTCGATGTTTCTTATGGGTCTCAGGTGCATAGTTTATTTTATTTTATTTTCTTTTCCTTTTGGGCGTGGTGACATTCGTAAATAAACCATGGTTATTAAATTAAAAAATTAGCAGCAAGAGTCATATTATAGTGAGGTTCTTGGTGGTGGAAGGATGCATTGGAAAATAGATTGTTTGAATAATTGGAAAAATCTACCATGTGCATTTCTTTACGATCTCTTAGGAATTTTCTTCTAGTTATGAAATTCAATATTATTTTTAATCATATAGAGTTAAAAAGGTAAGAGGTTATAGTGAAATTTAGAGATAAATGAGACTTTTTACGAGGGTCAGAAATTCATTTTGTTTTATCTTTCAGCATTGAAGAGTAGATATATTAATTGTACTAGATGGAATAATATAATATGTTTGGTTTTAAGGATGAAATTATTTTGATCCATTTGAACTCTGAGAGGAAGGCATTAAATTTTCACATGGGGTAAGTAATTTCGTTTTGTCTTCAATAAAAGTCTCTTTAACATGGATATGCCTTTTCAAATGCATCTATAATTAACCTTTTTCAGGTATTGGTTAAAGATGGATGCTGGACTGAGTCACACTTTACATCCTGGACCCATAGACGATTCCATACTTACTTTACAGGATCATCACAGATCTACCGCAATATGGGATGGTCAGGACTTTGAGCCTCTGACCTGTAGGAGATGTGATGGCCACTTCTGGCGTCTTGGTGCTTTGGACCCTCAAGTGCAGCAACTCATGCTGCAAGCAGGTTTTTATGGGGTGTACAAGGCAGGTCGTATACGACTAGATCATGCTTTGATAACAGCATTGGTCGAGAGATGGCGCCCAGAGACACATACTTTCCATTTGCCAGTTGGTGAGGCCACTGTTACCTTACAGGATATTTCTGTGTTGTGGGGTCTACCTGTAGACGGTGATCCTATCACTGGTGTCGATACAAATCGGTCTATGGAGGAGTGGCAGGATATATGTAATGAACTTTTAGGATTCAAACCACCTCCAGAGGATTTTGATCGTGGCCGTCTTAAGATCCGATGCTTACAGGAGAGATTTAAGACATTACCTGAAGGTGCATCAAAGGATACAATGCAGTTTTATGCTAGAGCATACATTTTGCAGCTTCTTGGGGGGCAATTATTGTCAGACATGTCTAATAATAAGGTGAAGTTGATGTACTTGCCCCTGCTTAGGGATTTTGAGGCTGCTGGCAGACTAAGCTGGGGTAGTGCTGTGCTCTCTTGTCTTTACCGTGCTTTGTGCCGAGCAACCAAGCCTGAGACTTCGGATATATGCGGTCCACTAGTACTTTTGCAGGTATTACAAATCATATAATCTTACTGAGGTGTTTTATTTACATCTTTGGTGCCTATTATATCTGAATAAAAACCTTAACGATGAGACTTTTTGTCTGCACGAATATCATTAAGATTTGGGCATGGGAGAGAGTTCCCTTCATCCGTCCTGGGAGGTTAGTACCCCAACAGCAGCCACCTCCTGATATGGTTTCTGGAGAGCATCCTTTGCCTGCTGCCCCTTATGGTTCCAGGTATGCTGGCGGATATAGAAACAACTTGCAAGCATAATTGCCCACACCACATGTTGGTTTTTTAACATAAAATATACATTGTTTGTAGGTGGAATATTGGTTTCAAGTTGGATAGTGTGGGAACACATGTTTTAGTGTTATACAGAGACCAACTAGATAATATGAAGGATGACCAGGTGCCTTTTATTTGTAATCACAATTGGCACCCGTATAGCATTAATACACTGACCAGTATTTGAAATCTACTTTATGTTTTAGTTTGTATGGGAGCCATACCCCGATGATGTCTTGGCCAGCCTTCCTCAGTATTGCATATCAGGTAGAAGAATTTGGCAGACGGTGTCTCCTCTCATCTGCTTTGATGTGGTGGAGTTCCACCATCCTGACCGTGCTCTACGCCAGTTTGGGCAGCAACAAACTATCCCTGCTGTTTGTGACACTATCCCAGATATCCATTTGACTGATCGTCGGGGAAGACAAAATTACGACTGGGCCCATCATCACAGGCAGTTTGTTGATATGTGGACAGACCGGTTTGCTCGCATTATTTCTACACCTCCCATTGATGGTCCGATGGATCAGGGTGATCCATATATGTTGTGGTACCAACGCATTACCCGTCTCTTGATTGGAAATCCTGCTATTCGTCCAAATACTGGATATCAGGGAGTTGGGGGTGCTATGGAGTCAATGGTATGGAACTTTGATTTGATCTTTTTTGCTTGTTGTCATACTTAGATTTTGACTTGCATCAAACATATTGCAGGCCCAGAGCTTACAAAGAATATACCATCGTGCCAGCGATGCTATGTACCAAGGCCATGAGGTCACAGGGCATGATGTTCTCAGAGAGATTCAGGATATATGTGTATATTCACTGAGGGCAGCTCACGAGGACCACCGCCTCGCTGAATGTCGCGACGCAAACCTAAAAGCTGCATCCTCAGCTATTCCACCAAAGGTACAGAGAGGTAGACCAAAGAAGAGAGGAGGGTTTGCAGGAGGATCAGCTAGTGAGAGCCGAAGAAGAATTCCACACTTACCAGTTACACCATCCACTTCACTGGCACAGTATAATTCTCCATCGCAGTCAAATTTTCTTCCTGCAAATGGTGAACTTCCAGATACGCCACAGACATGGGATTCTTCACTAAATTCTCCCGATTTCCAAGATCCGAACATGATGCAAATGAATTTGGAAGTTGCAGGTATGATTGCTTTCCTTTCCTCAGCTAATTTTTTTGCACTAGAGCTATCTAATGGTCTGACATTAACTCCATTGCTCGTATTCTTTGAACCAGATAGTTTGAAGCAAGAGGCTGCGTCAGTGTCATTGGACCTTGCAGAAAACCCCATCTTACAGGCCCTTGGGAAGATTCGTGACATTTGTGCATCTGCTTTGCAAATGACTAATGGGAACCAGTCTTCGCTATTGACACAGTCTGCCATCTCAGTGGGTCCTAAGACAAAGCGATGTAAACCGAGGAGGAGAGGTGGAATTAGTGGACGACTGGTGAGTACAGGCGGTGACTTGGGATCGTATTATCCATCTTCACTAGGATCAGCATCACCAACACCATCTTCTTCATTGGGACCAAATACTTCACGACCACACGAAATTGTGGATCAGGATTTCGAGCCCTTCACTACACCACTCATGGGGGACTCCCCACTGCCAGAATTACATGACACCATGCAATCAGAGATGATTGAGTTGGATGACATAACTGGAAGTAGAGAAGCTTCGCCATATGCTGCTAATCCATCAACGTCAGAGCCACAATTCTGTCCCCGCGGTGACCAAAGTTCAGTTCCTCAGTTGACCAACATGACACCCAATTTTTTGAGGGAGGATACTGCACCAGAACCATTGGATTCTTCTTGTACTGCACAGGTGGATGCCAGACAGGTAGAGAACATGGATGGAGGCATTGAAGTCTCACCACCCACACCTGACCCTCAAGTATTGGAGCTACAACATTCTCAGACTTTTGAAGAACCAGACTCCAAACCTGAAATGCTCGATGAGACTTCCTACACTAAAGGCAATTCAGTGGTCTCTCAATTTTCTCTGCAAGAGCATAAAGTGTTGCCCGTGCATCCAGACTCTGATAAGGTGGCGATGCAGGTTGATGGACCAGACACTTACTCCGAGTCTGACCCTCCTACTGAAGCCCCTGTGACATTGGACTCCACCATCCCTTCAAAGAAAGATGCGAGCCTCTCTCAGCATGGTAATCTGAGTACACCGGAATCTTCTTCATTGAAGACTCCAGTGACATCTGTGCATTCAGTTGAAGCAATGCAGGGAGATACGCCAGATGCTGATTCTGTACAAAGTGATGGTGGCAAAAGGAAAGAACGTGCCCCAGACTACATTGCTTTTGTAGGTTCAAGTCATACAAGTGATAATGCCACAAGTTCGTGTGATCTGGATATTGTTAATGATGATGGCAAAACGATAGCTAAGCCTCTGAATGAGGAAGAGTTGAAGCTTACTCAGGCGGATCCAGCAGCAGTGACAGAAGATGGCCAGAAGAAATACAAGAGACAAAGGCGAGTTCCATCAAAACTAAGATAGGGACTGGCTTGGCACAAGATGGCCAGAAGAAATACAAGAGACAAAGGCGAGTTCCATCAAAACTAAGATAGGGACTGGCTTGGCACATAATTTAACTTATTTGGTGATTGGAAGTGATGATAAACTTATAACTAATACCCGTTTCTCCATAAAACATTGTGTATTAGGATGATCCTATGTAAATGAATGATTTTTAAGTTTTGAAGTGGATAACAGGATCCTCCTTTCGTTGAAACAAATGTGGTCATAAATATTTCTGTTGTATGAATATGAAAAGAATGCAACTTTCAGCATGCTTACTTATTTTGTCATATATGATTCTAAAGTTACATTTTTTCCCAACAAAATTTTCTATTAAGTAATTCTCTGTGGTTAAAGTTCTTCGATGAAGATCTATGTTGAGTTTAAATTAGAAATTTCATTACCATCAAGAAGGAGCCTACCTTGAACTCGTGCAAGCTTGTGAATGTTAACCCTTGGCATTTCTAATGGCTAGTAATTGGTAGCAATTTGCCAATAAAAAAATAAAAATAAAAACATGCTCGTGTTGGTTTACTAAAATATTCCAACATGTTTATGGGATTCTCCAAAAGAGTTGAAATTTCCTATAAATTAATATCAATAATAATAAAGTACAAAAAAATTGGTAGAACAATTATTTAAGATTTTTTTAATTACTTAAAAGACACCTTAACCACTAACGACAATTCCTTTTGATGCTTTTTGATTGGGCATCATGTGATCGTAAAAGGCGAGATCCATGGGGAAATTTTCTAATAAAAATAATAATTTTTTGGCCTTTTCTTTTAATTATTTGGTGGTGTCAACGGGTATATCCACGAATTTTTTTATGTTTATTAGACAAGAAAAGAAAAGAAAAAAATAAAAAATTATTAAACAAATGTAAGGAGGTCGTCTTCGAAAAATATATAAGGCTCTTGTTTAAGCCACATTTTTTGTTTAGAATGAATTTTTGAATAGTGTCTTGATGGAAAATGTGTGATTAAAAGATAAAGAAAAATTTTTAATTTGCTTATAATATTATTTTATTAAAAAATGTGTGATTGAAATGATGTCAGATCACTGTTTAAAATGTATTTTTTGAAAAAAAATGTGACTCAAACATGCCTTAGGATAGTGACTTTTGATCAACATTTTACATGCTCTTTATCCGTAACATTTAATTTTATTAATCTAAAAAAATGTTTATTATTTTTTTCAATATCTTATTTTCAGTTGCTTCCCTCTAAATTATTATATTTTTTGAAAATTGAAAAATACTTAAAATGCATTTAGTTATAGAGTATGTGTTTGGTTCTCCAAATTTAGATATTCAAATTTACTCTTTATTTTAAAATATTGATTTGAAGAGTCTCTTAAAGCACAATTTTACGGACTGATTCTTTAAAATAGAGAGTATTTTATATTTTAAAAGTCTCTTGAAAATGCTCTAAATATTATGGACTTATTTCTATAATTGATTTAAATTATAAATTAATAAAAATGAACAACGAATGGGTTGATGATATTTGTAGATCTTATGAAATGTGTTGATAAAAGTAGTTTGGTTGATTATAAACATGTGCCAAACATCTGCTAAAATTAACATTTTCTCACCGACTTTTGTCTTTTGATGTAATGAACTCATGAGAAAACGAATCATTGCTCCCCAATGTAATGCTCCATTAGCAGGCTGGTCCTGAACTTTAAAAAGAAAAAAGCGAGTTAAACTCACGGCCTGTTTGGGAGGGATTTTTTACCCCAAAAAATTGATTTTTTGACCGTTATTTCATTATTCCAGCCGTAATTTTTGACTTCTTCTTTCACAGGTGGACCCCATTTTTCTTGTAACGATCAAAAAATCAATTCTCAAAATCCCTCCCAAACGGGGCCTCAATATTTTATAATAGTTGCCTCAGTTACGCTTCAGCAACTAAGGCCCCGTTTGGTACCCATTTTTTTTAAAATGTATTTCTTTCTCTTTTTTTTCAATCACACGTTCTTTCTTAAAATAATATTACACGTAAATAAAAAAAATTTTCTTATTTTTCAACCACGTATTTCCCATCAATTTACTATTCAAAAATATATTTTTACATAAAAATATTTCCAAAACACCCTCTAACTCTTATCAAATTGTTACGTATTGTCAATAAATAAATAAAAATAAAAATCTTAGTACTTTTTACTTAGGCAAAGATGCTAAAAATCTCTCATTTTTAATTTTTAGGTACCAATTTAGACTGTGGACCCAAAGTTAACTTTATGACGTTAGACATAAAAGAACTACCTAATGATATAGTAACGATTTACGTTATTTGTGACTGATTATGCAATTATAGTGAAATAGTGAGGATCATTTGGAATTAAGCAATAAATTGGGGACCTATACTACAATTTTCCCATTTATTTAAGAGTGATTAAATTTTATAGTTAAAGTTAAATATTAATTATTTTAATAGGAATATCATTCTAAACCCGTGTTTGACACGTTTTAATTTAATTCAAAGTTAAAAATTACATATTTTACGGTTCCATAATTTTTCAATCACACGTTTCATTAACTTATTTTAAAATTTATTAAAAATTTAATTTTAATCTCTAACAAGCAGGATTAATAAAAAAAAAAAAACATTTGAGTTGATGATGAAGAGGAAAATAAAAGTCAAGACTTTAATTTGAATTTTACATGATAAATAATTTCTTTCTGACTTTAGTTAAGAGTGGTTAACAATTTTTTATTTTAGAGTTAGTAGTTAATTATAGCAATTAACTTCTTATACAAAAACTGAAAATGAGCATCTTTACAGTGATGGCGAGTGATGAGCTAAAACTTAGAATTACCAACCAAAGATATCTTCTTTCCTTAACATGTTGTTGTTAATAAAATGATTTTTATTTCTCTGTCATTTTCTGATTTTTTGATGTGGCCATTATGAAAAAGCTAATGGCTTCTCTCTAAAGGTTAATAAATAGATGCCCATATTTTCATAATTCAACCCGTTCTCCAAATTTTCCGCCGATGAAATACGTTTGAAATCTGGGTTTGAATCTATAGAGACTGTAGAGAAGAACAGAGTAAAAATGGTGTTCATTACTGAAGATATCATCAAGCAATTTCAAACTATGATGGAAAAAAGTCAGCATTCTTAGAATTTTATTTTATTTTATTTTTTTTA